TTTAAAAAGTGCTAATTTAAAAATCAAATCGACGCGTGTAGATAAACAAAGATTTTATACAATTACACAGACTGGTAATTTTAAATTTTAACAAGCAGTGTAACAGCTACGTGAGTGATACACACCTGATGATGGCCATTTAGGGCCGAAACATGTAGTGTGGAGGAGGAAAAGAAGTAAAAACTACAATAAAATTTGTTGCACTTAAGATGGTATTTATCCATATATACCAGTTTTTATATTGTAAAGATCACCCCACTGGGCAATATTTTGATTCACACCCTGGAGATAAAAATATTTATGGTGCGACAAATGTTGTCTCACATGTAACATATTGGTTAGGATAACTGATGTTTTACTGTTAAGGGCAGCTTGAAAGTGTTAGTTTGATCATGCCTTAGCTTCTGCCCCTTCTTACACACCATTTCTGAAGTTGGTGCAGAATCAATTATGATTTGAGGTTCTCGTAGTAGTGAAAGTTAAGATTACAGTGTTCTGTACATGATGCTATGTAATGGCCTCCATCCTAAGGTTATCCTGAAGATGGCAGACCTCCAAATTTAGGCATATTATGGCAATAAAAATAAACTCCATGCCCTGGGCAAGACTTGAACACATACTAAACTCTGCAGCCATGGGACTTGATATTCACCAGTATAATAAGCCACCGTACACAGAGTTTTTCTACAGCTTTGGACTGCAACTGTCTATATCCATTCAGACTTATTCTAGAAACCTGAACTGCTGTTTTTAACTCTTGCTCCTTTCTCATTCATACAAGCATACATGCACACACACACATAGGGATTAAGAATGTGTCAGAATTGTGGTGGTGTCTGGTAACAAGATTATTCGTTCATTTTCACATCACTAGCTTTTAAGCCATGGGGGAAAACGTTTAGATGTATTCATTGATGCCTTGTATTAAGGTACAACATGGTGTAACAATTAGCATGTTTTTCTTACTCAAAGCATCTCTTTTGACAAGAAAACTTTAAAGGGAGTTTTCAGCCAAGGCGAAAGACATTAGTCCAGATAAAGTCTGCAGATTTCTCTGAAGTTTTCACCCACCAATGCAAGATTTTGAACTGTAGTGTATTAAGTCTACGGTCCTTAAACTTTGTCTCCTTAGTACATGTTCATGGCCACCAGTGGTTTGATCTGTCATGGGTTTTAACCAAAGCCTTCCCTGCTGTGGTTAAATCTACAGATAGAACCATATGTGTATGGCTTACTAATAGGGACTTAGTCCCAGCCCACTAGCAGTAAGAAAAAACCAAGAAGGGATGAAATCCACAGTAAATGCCTTCCAACAGAAGATTGATGCTTGGATAGCAGACATGGGTGGAGGGGAATCAAAAATAGAGAACGGCCTGCCAAAAAGCGATGAAGGCCAATCCAGAGAAGATGGAGTCCAGAGCAGAGCATCATGAGGTCCCTAAAGAAGCTGCAATGAAAACTTCTGGAGCAATGAGGAAGTGGTGTAGGTCCCACAATCTATCTGCAGAGAACCGAAGAAATGGACCCAGGGAAAGAGTGGACTCCAGAAGAAATTGGCACCCTCCTGCAGAGGAATGATCCACTGTGCAGGAGTGGGACAGTACAAGGGAGACATCAGAAAACATCGGACCAGGGACAATGTTGAACAAGAAACCCGGAAGGGACAGATGCTTGGGAAGAGACAATGGACACACCAGGAAGCCAGCAAGGAAAAAATGGACCTAGGCAGCAGACGGCTGCTATATTTGAGGAAGGAGAGGACAACTGCAAACAGCATCAGAGGGAGGAGCTCAGGACAGCAATCACATCTGGGAAGCAGAGGAACACTCAGGAAGACCGTATATGAGATTTCTGGATTGAGAGCCATGAAACAAATGGTTGGGACTTCCATCAGAATGTGGAAAATGGCAGACTGGACATTTCTGAGGGGTTGACCCCCTCCAAAATGAAGAGATTGCATACAGAGCAGGATCAAGAAATGTAGGAACCATGGCCATTCTATGAGTTACTCCCCACCTTGGGAAAAAAAGAAGAAACAGGATGATGGTGAAATCCTGGACAGATTGGAACCCTCAGGAAGCCACTCAGGATGAGCTGCCTTAAGGAGGGAGCAGTGGTAGTGGTTGGAGAATTAACACTGTGGGGGGAGAGAACCAAGCACAGCCCTTGGAAGAGAAGGAACAGTGACACTGATAGGCTATTCAGGATGAGCAGCCTTAAGGAGGGAGAAATGTGATGTATCGACCAATACCAGGCAACGACTCAGTATACATGTTCCAGCGAGCATGCAACAGTAGCAGTTGGAGAATGAACAGTTCATGGAGGGGAGTTCAGAGCAATGGGAAGGAAGGTGAGCCATCACAAGCGGAGACCTCGGAAAGGAAGGAATGGTGACACACAGATAGGCTACTCTGGACGAGAAGCCTTAGGGAGGGAGCAATGTGAAACATAGAACAAATACTAGGCAACACCCACAACACACACAGCCAACAATATAGGAGCAATGTTTTATGTAGTATGTGCATGGACCATTGCTATGCAACACACACTAAACAGATTGTCGTGTACACAGTGACATCACACAACAATAGAGAGGCTGTGTTTATTACTGCTGTAGTCCAAGCTGAGTTGTTGTAGGGCACAACAGAAGAGGTGTTTTCTATGTCGTCCATGCCATGCCCAGTGCTGGGCAGCAGGCCAGTCGACACACACTGACACGTGATATGCTTTCTGTGCTGTGTGGGCCATGCTGCGACTATATGAGGGAGTCAGTTCAAAGGATATAGAGTCAAGAGAATGGAAATACAGTGGCATACAGCAGAGTACAACAAAGAAAACGAGAATTAGAATTAAGTTGTCGGTAGGAGATAGCCATAAGGGGTTAGTAGTTGAAGATGAATTTGAAGTCAGCCTGTGAAGATATAGTGTGTGATTAGAAGATTTAGTCACAGTGAAACTTTTAATTCTGCTGCCAGCATACAACTAGTGAAGACTGAGAATCCTAGTGGGTATGTTAATGCTGAACTGTAAACTGTGTAAATCAGCAATAGCGCTGTATTAAATGTAGTCCCAAACTGTGTGAATGTAATAAATGCAGTCATCCAATCCAGAGCTCATAATTAGTCACAGAACCCCAAACACATTATAATATTGTAACGTGTTTTAGTTCGAAGACGCTGTTCGGATTGTTAATTGGTTTATTCAACAACCTACAAGTAACGGCTACAATTAATTATCACACAGTTGCGGGGTTTCACACTTTATAACCCTAATCGCAATAATCTGTTAACACTGTTGCGGGGTTTCACAATTTATAACCCTATTCGCAAATCAGTTCACTCTGTCTTCAGTAGTCTACACGTTTACAGTACGGGAGCTATGTATCACTGTATCACACACTCCCAATTACACAGTTACACACACGTCCAGTTCTTCTTTCCGCGACGGCTGCTATACTCCAACTGTAGTCGGCTGACTGGAGAACTGTTGATAACACACTCACTCGTAGGCTTGCTCGGAACTAACTCGGAACTGAACTCGGCGATGGCCACATTACAACTACTCTTCTCGCCGGCAGCGCAACTCTCTTATATAGGGGCTGTGTGGGCCTGTTACGTAGCAACGCTGTTACCTCACGCCGTCTTATGTTACCATGCAGAGGGGGGATGACGGAGCGCTGACTCACCTGCCGCGTGACTGCTGGTGGTGGGGGTTCTCCGTTGCGCAACATGTCACAATATGTATAGCTAGCTAGAGATACCGATAGGTAGATATTGAAATTGTTCTGTTACCTGTATATAGTGCTTCAGTTTTTAAGTTATCATGATCCCAAAAACTGGCACGTAACCTGATGTACGTTAACGGGCAATGGTACAGATATTTGCTAGTCAGTTTTTATAAATAATGTCGCGTATTGGGCGTATATCACGACAAATAACTTCACGATGTATTTGATGTAGCGAATTTTATTTCACATTCGCACTTACAATCACCCAAATTACAGATTTACGATTACTGCTATCTGCAGTATCACAATTAGTACACTCCAAATGCCAGAATACAGCTGACTGGTTGCTGGCTAACTCGGAACTAACTCGGAGGTAGCTCCAGGACTGACTC